ATATGGAATACAAAAAAGAGACTGTTTTAATGAATCCTTTCCATGACTTTTATCAGAAATACAATCCATAATATTGGAAGTACACTGTTCAATTAAAAATCCTAATTGTTCAGACACATTTTTCATGCAAAAATGTTGTGATTGTGGAAGGTATAGCTTGCGTCTATGATACAACTTATGGACATGTACTCGCAATTATGTGCTCACCTCCCCATTTTGCAGGATCCAGTTGAAAAGCTTCCAATGCCCTCTTCTGACACAATGACTCAGCCATATCAATGTACCTGATATCCATTTTACTTAAGATGAGACAAGGAACTATAATCTATCGTAACTAAATTGAAAAAGAAAAGGATGGAACTTTATCATACTCATTTCCTCCATAGTATCTAGCCCCTGGATATCCTTCACTGTATTTGTTAGTCATGACAGAACCAACAGCTTGCATTACAGAAACAGAGGTGAAATTCTCTGACGGTATAAGCTCAAGCCCCTGTAGGCACCCATAAATTTTCAATGTAAGACCAGAAACAAACAATAATTCCACAGGTCAACCTGATTAATAGGTAACACGAATGAATGAATGAATGAATGAATGAATAGTGATACTGAGTTGGTGTGATTTTGAAAAGAAATCAAAGTCCATGGTTAAACAAACCGTCTCACAAAGTCCCAAGTATGTATATTTCTATGTACTCCGTGCAAAGGAAACTAATTGAGAGTGCAGTTGCATTAACAATTAACATTAACAATACCAAACAGGCCGTAAATGTACAAGTATATGGCATATTCAAACTACATCACATGAAGTTTCAACTTCCATTTATTAAATTAAGGTGGCTTACAAGTTGCATCTTCCATGGTGATACATAAACACGAATTTACGCCAAGACACCAACTATGGTGTTAACATTGAAATGAAATTGCAACAATTTTTGCATTTATGCATTTATTTAAATCAGATAACTCCAAACATCATTAACAAAACAGAACTTAGCAAAATCATCATGGACAAATTTTCAATATATGAACTCAATCAAAATTCAAAACAAAACGCAGAAAATCTTCTTTACAAACACAACACGGAGTACCATTAAGTACCATATATTAAATTAAACTATTATTCAGTTTTAAATTTACCTTCCATTGCCGAGCTTTCTCCAGCTCAATAATGTCTGCAATCTCAGGATCAATAACCTCAAGCGGTTCATTCAGCTGCTTTATCCACTAAATTCAAATTTTGAAAAATTAATAAATAAAAAATCAATTAAATACATACGATCACCATTGATACAAATCACCAAACCCTAAATCACTAGATTGCAATGAAACGTCATATAATAAAAATATCTGATTCCAACAAATAAATTAAATAACTTACATTAACACGAGATCGATTGCTATCTAGAGAAGCTTGATTTGACAAAGAAGACTGCCAAACAAAATGCAGAAAATATGAAAATGTACATACATTCAAATAAAATGATAATGCGTAAGTTTATAATATGAAATAAAAGAATATTAACCATGTAGAAATAAGAACCGCCATTGAAGATAGGACGAAAGGAAGATGAAGAAGAAGAAGAAGAAGAAGAGGAGAGTCTGCGAAGCGCCATTGACATCGCCATTGCCGCGCTTTCTTTCTCTAAAAGTGGCTGATATTCTCTCTCCTCTGAGTTTTTTGTGGCGGTTGATTGGGAAGGGAGTGGAGATGCAGTGGCTGTTGATGTCAGCAATCAGGCACTTTGCTACTTTCAGACTTCAGTGGGTTGGTGGATTGGTGCGGTTGTTATTGGTGGGACCTCCACCTACTATGTTGGATTTGATATTTTGATTACTTGATTGAGCTAGGTCTTTTCATTTTCCATTTTTGGAGGGTCGTATACTCGTATACATATTTCAATACTTCACTTAATCTTTACTCATCAGAGTGTCCATTCGGTTTTAAGTTTGAATTTGGGCCAAATTCAATCCGATCCGAAATATTATTCGATTTTCAATTTTTAAACCAATCCAATTCGAGTTACTTTCCTAACCTAATCCGATCCAATTCAAATTGAAATTCGATTATTTGGATTTGATCCGAAAATCCGAATTAATATATGTAAATGTGTAGCCTCTAATAGATTAGTACAATAATATAAAAATAAGAATGCAATTATAAAATTAACATTTTGTCCAATCCTTAAGATTAATACAATTCTTTTATTCAAAAAAAAAAAAAGATTAATACAATTCTTGAAAATAGTCATAATTAACATAAATTATTTAACATCAAGTCAAAATACTACAAGCAACACCATTAGATTACAACAATTACTCCATGCGCTAAATACTACAAGCAACTGATCCCCGAATCCGGATTAGCCCAAAGGGTGAACCAAGTAGAACACCAAAAAAAAAGAACTTTGAGCAGGTTAAGACAACAACTTTTAACGGCACACAGGTGACTGCAAATACATGCTTGATTATAATTCGGTTTTCTATTTAGTTCGGATCCAACTAAAGTCAATTTGACCATTCCGAAAATCCGAATTTTTAAAAAAATATGTTTTTTTTTGGTGTTTAGAGAGCCGTAAGGGCGGGGGTGAGAATCGATCCCGGAACCTCCTAGGATCGGGAGGGAGGCTCTAACCACTTGAGCTATCCCTCCCGATCGTAAGAGCTCTAAAAAAGTATGTCTTAATACGGTAAAGGCATACAATAGGATTATTGGTGTTAGAATAGAACATGAAGACTAACTCCAATGAACATAAGAGCTACTTCATCCGTTCTTTTTTACTTGGTCCGCTTTGACTTTTACAGTATTGACTATCTCTCTTTTGACTGTCTTTTTTGCATAATGTGTGAGGGAAAACATATTCATGTTGGATTTTTTTGAATATGTCTCAATAAGAACTATCATATATAACTTTTAGTTTATAATTTTTACTTATGGAGAATTAAAGTTATTGATAGCTAAAGTTTGCATTGGCAAGCATGATAAAAGAAACAGGTCAAATGAAAAATAAAAAAGAAAGTATATAACAATAAGATGATGTTATATATGTTTGTTGGTGTTTATATTCTTAAGTGTATACGTTCATAAGAGTTAATCTTCATGTTTTTTTAATTTACTTTCATTTCATTTCATGACTTCAAGTTCATCGTATGCACAATGAGCACCTTGTGTACGCTTCCACCATGCAATTATTCACAACCATTTAACATTGAATTCAATATTAAAATATTATGCTTTAATTTTTTTTTATTTTTGACTTGACCTTAATTTAAACACTATCTAAGATACATGTATTAATAAAATTAATTTATTGGTTCCAAAATCTTGGTAACAAAGTTGTTGAGTAATTTTTTTTTTTTTTTTTGGGACACAATCAATTTAAACATTCACCAAAACTTTACAAATGAAACTATGAACACAAACACAATGTATGTGACAATGGTTTTGGCCTGCATCCGCAATTAAGTTACTTTTCAGTTTTTCACCATATTTTCTTATGCTCAAAATAAAAATTCACCTTGGTTAATAATAAGAATGTACATCCTCACCAATATGGAATATGATCAGTTTTTGCAATTTTCACCATATTTTCTTACAGCCAATTAATAGCTAGGTTTATTGTTGTCATTCTGTCAAAACATAATAACGCAATACCTATGCTTAGGTTTATTGAAACCGCTTAGGTTAAAATTATACTCCTATAGTCCAAATGTTAAGTTCCAATTCAAGCATTATAATGTAGATGAATTCTTTTTAATTTAGTATTTGTTGTAAAAACAAAAGACATGATTTCATATTGATATGGTTAATTTGTACAAATTTTTGCTACTACATATCATAATACAAAATATTCTCAGTGTGCAATTACTTTTAACCATATTTTCATATATTTAAAATAAAAATCACAAAAAAAAAAAAAAAAAAACTACAATCGTATAACTATAACTAATATATAAAGCTAAACTTTTAGCCAGACGACGGGTAGTGACACTTGGCGTTCCAACTTTTCGCCAAGTGTCGTGCTAGGATAGAGTTATATAGAATTCAATTTGTAGGATAAAAAAGTTAGTTTAGAATTTTATTTCAATCAAATTTGGATAGAATTTTAGGATAAAATTGTTAATTTAGAGTTTTATTTTTGATAAAGTACCAATATTTTTATCATAGAATTTTATTTTTTTTAGTAAAGTACAAATTGAATTATAATTTTATTGAAAAAATAATTTGATTATAACTCTCATAAATTATCATATAAATTTATTTTTTGTATCATAATATTTTTCTGGAGCGAAGGAATTAGTTCAAAATATACTAAATCCAATGTTTATAATATATTCTAATCAATTAAAATCATATACTTCATAATCTAATATAATTTTATTACTGTGTGTAGACCTGTAAATCGGGTTGGGTTACCTGTCATTTTAGGCAGGATCATTATTTCAAGTTACAGGTCAAGAAATATTTTTCACCAATATTATTATTATTAGCCATTACATGTCTACAAGTTTAAATCGTCACAAAAACACATCAATTCCTAACTAATTTTGTATCAATAATATGTTTTAAAATTTGACATATAGATTAAAATATATCTTAAAATTTAATAAAAAATCCGGGCATCGCACGGGCACAAAACTAGTAAGTATATAATAGGAATATTTGTGTCAAAAAAAAAAAAGTATATATATAATAGGAATATAACAGTAAATACTAAATATCATCAATGTGGAATATGGATATGTGATCAATTTTAGCTGTTTCTTATTAAAAAGTCAAATCCCAAGTTGTTTTTGGCTAAAAGCCTAAAAACAATAGATAAAATCTTCTTAAAAAAAAAAGATTCTGTATGATTCTCTATCTTCAACCAAAAAAAGGACTAGATCCAATTTTAGTACATTGTAACTACATGATCCTCCTTATGAATATTATCATACAACAAATCCCTATTTTTCCTTAAAAAGAATAAAACGAAATTAAAAAAAAAAAAAAAAAAAAATCCTCCTACTCTCAAAACTACGGTGTATATAATTCACCCAAAACAAAAGTTCTGAAACCCTAGCACAAATACACATTACTAGTGGCAAACCAAAAAAAGTTCAAACCAACGTTTAAAAAAAAAAAAAAAAAAAAAAAAAAAAAAGAAAAAAGAAAAACTGTGCAACAATGGTGGAAACCGAAAACATAGAAGAAAATTCACCAATAGAAGAAGTTAGATTAACAGTATCAAACACAGACGATCCCACATTACCAGTATGGACCTTCAGAATGTGGTTTCTAGGAATAATTTCATGTGTATTGCTTTCATTCTTGAATACATATTTCAGTTATCAAGACCAACCATTGGTGATCACTATGATAACCATTCAGGTTGCGACGCTGCCTATAGGAAGGTTAATGGAGCGTACGATTACGACACGAAAGTTTAAGTTGGGAGGATGGGAGTTTTCGTTTAACCCTGGACCGTTTAATATGAAGGAACATGTTTTGATTTCTATGTTTGCTAATGCTGGTTCTGCTTTTGGGAGTGGTACTGCTTATGCTGTTGGTATTGTTGATATTATTAAGGTGTTTTATATGAGGAAGATTACTTTTTTGGCTAGTTGGATCCTTATTATCACTACTCAGGTTAGTTTTTACTCTTTATTTTTTATTTAATAATTACCAGAATATGATCTTGTTTTCTTTTTTTTCTTGCTAATGATAGGTTTAAATAATTTTTTGTTTTGATTATTAATAAATTGTTGAAATTTTAAAGAATTAATTTACAATTCTAAATTGATTGTGTTTGTTCATGATTTTACAGATTAAAACCTAATTCCTTGTCAAAATCGATTTTCTTTACTAGAGGAGACTTATGTTAGTCAATTACAACTGTTTTTTTAAGTTAATGTTACATTCGAGTATCTAAATTTTAATGGCATTGTGAATAGGGCATATCAGTAAGATTTATATATTTAGGTGTATAAAATATCTTTTGAGGACAAATAAACAACATTATTGATGTTTTTTTTTTACAATGGAGTAATTTCGATTCATGAATTATTAACTATGATATTATATAATGAAGTCCCACACACCATGTATCTCTAGTCCCTTTTCAATTTCTCTTTAAAGGACATATCTATTGGAATTTTTTAGGTCTTAATTGTTGCAATATACTCCTTTGTATTTATCTTCGAAAAAAATGTAACTAGATAAACTTTACCTTAAAGTTTCATAGAGGATTTACAGTTAATCATATGGTGAAAAGCATAAAATGATAATTCTTAACAAAAACTTTGATATATACCATGCATTATATCTAAGTAATTAGTAATTTCATTTAGCTTAGTTAAAGAACCAAATAAAAGATCTTTGTACATACAGGTAATTATGTATGTAGTGATCATATGTGATATGTCTGAAAAAATAATAATGTTTGTTTTATGTATCAATGCAGGTACTTGGTTATGGTTGGGCTGGAATACTAAGAAAGTATGTGGTTGATCCTGCTGAAATGTGGTGGCCTGGTAGTCTTGTTCAAGTTTCACTTTTCCGGTAAGCATTATTTAGGTCTCCTAAGCTAGTACTCCGTGTTGAATCCTCGACACTTCGATTATTCATTTTGGAGTGAACTCACATATGATATGGTATTTTGCAGGGCACTACACGATAAGCAAGACAGTAAATCAGATAAAAGCCTAACAAGAAGCCAATTCTTTGCAATAGCACTAATATGCGCCTTTAGCTGGCAATTAGTCCCTGGTTACCTCTTCCCAACAATATCAAATCTTGCAATTATATGCTTGGCCTTCCCAAAATCTGTCGTAGCTCACCAGATTGGTTCAGGAAATAAAGGACTTGGAATTGGAGCGTTTGCTTTTGACTGGAACGTCGTAGCTGCTTTCAATGGCAGCCCTCTAGTCACTCCATTTTTCGCTATAGTTAACATAGCTGCAGGCTATGCTTTGATCATGTACTTTATTATACCAATTGCATACTGGGGGTTTAATCTGTATAATGCGAAGACTTTTCCCTTCTTTTCTTCACATTTGTTTACTGCTGCTGGGACGAGGTATGATGTTAGAGCCATTGTGAATAACAAGTTTGAACTTGATTTGGGTGCGTACGCTAAGTATGGACGAGTAAACTTGAGTATGTTCTTCGCGCTTACTTATGGCCTTGGGTTTGCTGCTGTTGTGGCTACTCTTACTCATGTTGCCCTGTTCAATGACAAGTAAGTATTCTTTACAAGTCTACCTTAGTTTTTGGAAATTAACCTCAAATGAGTGTAAAGTGTATTATGCTTTGGTGCACTTTGCATGACAAACTGATTTTTGCTGATTAAAAGTTCGACTCAAAGTAGTTATGATTATTTTATGCAGGGACATATATAAGCAATTCAGAGCATCATCAAGCCGTAAGGAAGATATACACACCAAGTTGATGAAGAGATACAAGGACATTCCTAATTGGTGGTTTTACATTCTGCTAGTAGCATCATTTGCTCTTTCTTTGGTGCTTTGCATTTTCATGAAAGATCAAATCCAAATGCCATGGTGGGCACTCATTTTTGCTTCAGGCCTTGCCTTTTTGTTCACCCTTCCTGTCAGTGTTATTACCGCGACTACTAATCAGGTGAGCACTTCCTTCTAAACCTTTATACTGATTGCACCCCTCCTTATCTTTCAATGTGACCATCTGGTATTGAGGTGACTAGTTATACTATTGAAGGGCGGGCAATTGGTATTTGGTGGCGCATGTCTCAACCATAAGAACGACGAGATTCTAATAACAACTAGTACTGATAGGAATTTTTTGTTGTTCCCACATGCAGACACCAGGGCTTAACATCATCACAGAGTATCTAATGGGTTTGATTCTACCAGGAAGACCTATAGCTAATGTCTGCTTCAAAACATATGGTTATATGAGTATGGCACAAGCTGTATCCTTCCTTAATGATTTCAAGCTCGGCCATTACATGAAAGTCCCTCCGCGATCAATGTTCTTGGTTCAGGTACGTATTGATTACTATACTATTATATGTCCTATATAATTTTTTTTTATCTGGCTTAAGCACAATATCTGATCAAAAATCTTAGCTTTACTTTATACTATTTCACTTTTAATCTCCTCTGAAACATGCTTCTTTTACCCTATGACTAATCTAATAGGTCTATTTTGTACACCATAGTTCATTGGAACTATTATTGCAGGAACAGTCAATTTATTAGCAGCATGGTATTTCTTAAACACAGTCCCCCACATATGCCAAGACCAGCTCCTACCTCCAGGTAGCACTTGGACATGTCCAAACGACAATGTATTCTTCGATGCATCAGTCATTTGGGGCTTACTCGGACCAAGAAGGATGTTTGGATCCTTGGGGACTTACTCGTCCATAAATTGGTTCTTCTTAGTGGGAATTGTAGGTCCTCTTCTTATATGGTTGTTACACAAAGCATTCCCTCAACATAAGTGGATCCCGCTCATCAACTTGCCTGTGCTCCTTGGTTCAACAGGCAACATGCCCCCCGCCTCAGCCATCAACTTCACCACTTGGATATTTATCGGGTTCATCTTCAACTACGTTGTGTTGCGTTACAGGAAGAAGTGGTGGCAGAAGTACAACTATATTCTCTCCGCGGCCTTGGATGCAGGGGTGGCCTTCATGACTGTTCTCCTTTACTTTGCCCTTGGAAAGGTTGGAGGCATTTCTTGGTGGGGTTCTGGGTCTGAATATTGTGACCTTGCTAGTTGCCCTACTGCTAAAGGGGTAGTTTCTGATGGTTGCCCTGTATTTTGATGTGTAAGTTTGGAGAATTCATATTAGGACTGTTACTTGCCCCACATTGTTATCTTGTGTAGGTACTTATAAATTAACAAAGATTATTTTTATATGAAGATTTCTTTATGATTCTTCCATCTATCATTCATCACTTTAGTTGTATAAATAATCACTTATAGTCTGACATTAATATTGTGTTATAGGAAGTTCTGCTATAAATCTATAATTCTGTTATGCTTGCAGATAACCCAAAAAACTTGTGCACCCGCTGCAAATTTTTTGCAGTATAATCAGTTCACACTAAACCTGTCAAAAACTTAAATGTCTATCATATTATTCCTCAAAAATTCTCTTCCTATTAAGGATTGTGAGAGGGTTTCACCAATGTGTGATGCTAATGTCATACTATAAGCTTGTTAAGAGCTCGTTTGCAATGTATGATTTGCAATAATTTGGTTTCGATTTTTCTAATCTCAATAGTCAATAGTGCTTGTTAGGAGCTATAAACATGAATTCTCGAAGTTCACCAAACATATCTATTCCTTTAATCAATTAGATACAGCACATAGACGACATAGGAGTCACTCATGCATAAAAAGTACAGCAATGACAAAATCACATCTTCAATAAATAAATGCCCTGTATAATTAACACTTGTTTATCACTATATTGTATGCTTTCTATACAATTATAGATGACAATAATAGCAATAATCATAGATTATTTAGTGCCCCAATTTGTTTATAACCTGAAGATACAGCATATCTGGAAGAAAACCCATGATCATAATCATCTTGATTATCATATTCAACTACACCCTCATTAAAGTTTTGGGCATAGCTTAATGCATCATACCTGAAATCATCATGAAATAAGGCCTTTTTTGGTTGAGGAATACAAACATTAGTTGCTGCTACTGCATTACTGCAGCTTTTACTAGTCTGCTTTATGTAATTCTTACCTTTCTTCCAAATATTTTTGATTGGAACATTTGGAAGCTTCATCTTCAAGCAGCCCCCACATCCAATTCTTTTCCCTCCCCCTTCAATGTCTTCTCTGATAGGATATGTTGATGAATCCCCCTCCATTTTCGCGTTATCTGTTTCGTGTAATTTATCAATTGTGACAGCAATTAATGAAGAAAAAAAATATTTTGCTGAATTACATGAAGGAAAGAAGAGTAAAGAAAAACAAAAAGAGGGAATGTATTATTATTTGTTATAATTATGATGAAATTAAATTGTGGGGACTGAAGATCAGCATCACTCTTTCAAGATTTTGATTGTGTGGTAGAGGAAATGATTAGTTGTTGTCATGGATGATCATACGTAGTATTATAATTAGTATTATTGTAGATTTTTATTTATGTTTGTTGAAAAATAATTAAGGGAATACAACATTTGAAGGATGGAAGTTGGTCTTTCTGATATTTTGTTGCCAAAGATACTTATTTGGATGGCATTGCTTGTGTTTCTAGGATGGAAGTTGGTCTTCCTGATATTTTGTTGCCAAAGATACTTATTTGGATGACATTGCTTGTGTTTCTAGGATGGAAGTTGGTCTTCCTGATATTTTGTTGCCAAAGATACTTTTTTGGATGGCATTGCTTGTGTTTATATGGATTGGGTAGAGAACCATAACCCTTGCTCAAGTGGCCTGGTGAGGTTGACAGTCCATTTCTACTATATACAATCAGCAGTACTTTGTACCCGTACAGGCGTACATGGTTACTATACAATCAGTAGTATTGTAGTATTGTACTCGTACATTGTTATGAAAAAAAATACAAATACGAGTCGCAAAACAAACATCTATCAGTTGCCAGTCCTGCACCAGGGTAAAATAACATGGAATGGCCTAATGGGGCACAGGCGCACAGCAAAATTTAATCAAAAACGCGCCAGGTAGGGATCGAACCTACGACTTTCTGCTTAGGAAACAGATGCTCTATCCGCTGAGCTACAGGCGCCCTAATGCAGTTGCTTGTATGTAATAAGTAAATAAACATTCATTCATAAAAAAATTTCCACCAAGGTTTTTCTAGTGTTTTCTTTTTTTGACATACAAATATAATTATGATAACATGACTAGTTAAATTATATTGCTAATTCCGGAAACAAACAGACTAGGTGCCGATTTGGTGTCTTGGTCCATATCAATGTGTTACAACTTACAGACTACCTAATCATGTAGAAACTAAGAAGTGGTGTATGGTTTAAATATATTTGAGCTTATCATAAGAGTTTGAAGAAGGGACAAGCAATTTGATGTGATACTCTGCTATAAGCTACTCCGCACAACTCTACAAGACTGCCATTATGAAGTATATGTTCCATTTGACGTTGCTGGAAGCATAATTTCAACTTCTAAAATATTACTGTACTTGTACTACATGCCTATAATAAGAGCACCAAAGAGGCTTCTTAAAGCTAACCTAATCAGATTACAATGTCCCTTGATACGTAATCAATAGAACATACAGTTCCCTGTTTCTTTTATCCCTTTTGAAGTTCTCTCTTATAAGCAATAAAATGAATAAATTTACAATACACAGTATGAATCTTCATCGAGTCCCCATGTTAAGGGTAGCTCTTAAACAATATACTTAAAGAACTAATCACGAGTTTTTACAAGAAAGAGGGAGATAAAGAAATCAGCTCAAAACTATTTGGATTATACAAGTGCAAGGTATCCTGGTGAAACAAACTATATGAGCAAAAGCTTACATAAGAGTATATGACATGATATTGAACTATGCAGGACTCAAGAACACAAACAAAATTGAATCCTGACATCACTAACTACAGAGAGGCAGGGTAAGCAATTATAGAACTACGATAGTTTGTGAGCAAAAAGCAGGAGCATTAACTCACTAGCCTCTGTTGATCTACATCTTTACAGCTACCTGTTCAGCTGAACTTTTCTTCACAAACCCTCTAGCACACAACTCATTCAGTAACTCCAAAGCCTCCTCAGTTAGACCTTCATATGCAATACCTTCAACAAGAATGGTGTACGTAGCTTCAGTAGGTTTGCAACCTTTTGATATCATATAAGACAAGAAGTCAATAGCACGAGCAGTATCTCGAGCTTTGCAAAGTCCCAACATGATAGAGTTATAGGTAATTGCATTAGGTTGGATTCCTATCCTTTCTATTTCATGGAAGAATCTAATTGCTTCTTCAACATTTCCCTCTCTGCTAAGCCCTGAAACAACTGAAGAATAAGTTATTATATCAGGTCGCAACCTCTTCTTCTGCATCTCATCCAGAAGCTTTATGGCATGTTCTGTCTTTCCTGACTTAGAGAGCCCGTCAATTACTGTGTTGTAGGTAATCAGAACTGGTGAGCAACCCTTGCTACTTAACTGATTCAGTAGTTCCAAAGCAACCTCAACATTCCCATCTTTGCATAAAGCTGTAAGGAGAGTGTTGTAGGTCACAATATCAGGATAACATCCTCGAGAGACCATTATACCAAGATATTCAAGCGCCCTATCCATTTTCTTTTCTTTGCAAAATGCATGGAGTAAAGGATTGTAACTCAAGGAGTTAGGGGTGCAGCCGTGTTTTGGCATTTTATTTAACATATCAATTGCCCGGCCCAACAGCCCTTTCCTACACAAGAAATTGATGAGTATATTAAAGGTAACAACACTAGGAGAACAGCCCTTCTGAAGCATGTCAGACAATAACTTCTCGGCATCCATCCACCTTCCAGTGCTACACATGCTTCTTAAGATAATATTGTGGGTTATTACATTTGGTTGGCAACCAAGTGATCGCATGCTATTCAAAAAATCAATTGCCTCATCCAATCTCCCTTCCTTGCAAATCCCATTTATAAGAACATTATAGGTGACCACATCAGGCTTACAACCTTTGCTCCTCATTTCATCAAGAAGTTTCATTGCTTGGCCAACCCCACTTTCCTTACAAGTTGCTTCGATCAATATAGTATATGTGATCACATCTGGGTAACATTCCCTTTCCATCTGTCTATCAAGAACCTTCATAGCCTGTTTTAATTTCCCACTATCACACAAACTACGCAAGATGGTGTTATAGGTCACAACATCCGGAGCAACACTCATACGGTCAAGAAGCCTTAATGCATTATCCATCTCCCCAGCTCTACAATACCCACTAATCAAAACATTATAAGTAATCACATCAGGTACAGCTCCAGATTCCTCAAGAATCTCCAAAACCCTAGTGGCCTTCCTAGTTTTACCAACCCTACAAAACCCGCGAATCAAACTAGTACATGGTATAATATCAGGGATATCACCCCGATAAACCATACTTTCAAGATTCTTAAAGGCTTCCTCAAGCTCCCCGTTCCTAACCAAACGGCGAAGATGATTATTGCTCTCATATTCATCATAAGTTGGACCAGAATAGCCCAAAGATGAATTGTCATCCTCAAATCGCCCACGAGAGTTCCTCTCGCTATGGAAAACCTTACCATTGATAGCCATAGGTTCATTCTTAGAAACAGCACAAACCAACTTTCTCTTCTGTTTTCTATACACCCTATTATCCTTCTTCAACTCGGGAATATCAACTGATAATTCAACATACCTTATCTTATACGCTAAAAATACCTTTTCACAGACCCGCCCTTGAGCCAGGGCGGCAGGCGGGGCGGCCGCCCTGGACCCAGAGAGAGAAATTCCATTTTCATAGTTCCGTCCTAACATTCAAGGGTTCTGCAACACATTAACAACCAAATTTGACTCAATTTTTGAATTAAATTATTCTCATTTAAGAACTACTAATAGCAAAATCTAACAACAAAATTTCTCATAATAATTTTTCAGAAATTACAACTAATAGTTCAAATGTTCAATAGTTTACCTAAGAAACACCTTACAAGTTACAAACTTACAATGATAATCTATCAATGAAATTTCTGGCCATTATCATCTTTCAGTAATTATAACCAATAATTCAATAATTCACCTAAGAAGAACCTTAAAATGACTAATTTATCAGAAAAATTTCTGGGTTTTACCAGTAATTATAACCAATAATTCAATAATAAACCTTAGAAGAACCCTAAATTGACAATTGAAATAACGATTAACACTAGCTTGTGAAACTAATATTCGATGAATATATAAACATATTTTACCTTAGAAGCTGCTTCAATGGAGGGGAGAGCTCACAAGCCGCTTCAACGGAGTTCAGAGTAAGCTTCAATGGAAGAGAGAGGGAAGGAAGGGTACACGTGTATAAGCTCCAATATCCGTTTAATTCATTGGCAACGTATACTCCGTCTTTAAACAATTAGGGCTGTTCGTTAATGGGTACCCACTTTTGTTTGGGCTTTCTAGTCTAGTTTGTATCTTTTAAACTTTACAACCCATTTTCTTGTATCTATAGTTTTTTTTTTTTTTTTTTTTTGGTGAACACGAGGGGCAAGCCCCAAAAGAAAGGAGAAAAACTAGAACTAAAAAGCAAAAACAAGAAACCAAAAAAACAAAGCAAAACAAACTAATCCTTCCTAGCTACCCTCCTCGGCATAGCTACTCCCCTTAGATCCTCCGGGACCGCCTCAAAAATGATCATAGGTTGCTCCAAGGTCACACCATAGTTAGCTAACCAATCCGCTACTCTATTGGCTTCCCTGTAACAATGTGAGATAGTGATTTCCCAGCCTTGCCTCGCAATTAGGGTCTTACACTTTCGAAGGATATGAATATAGAGGGAGTTAGAGGGAATAGGTTCCTCTAACATACGAACGACTACTTCCGATTCTACACGCACTTGGACTCTCCTATGCCCAGAATTCCACGCAATTTCCAGCCCTCGCATTACTGCCATCAATTCAGCCTTTGTACAAGTGCAAATTCCATACCTAATCGCAAACAACTTGTGGACTTCCCCAGTACAACTTCGCACTATTCCACCAGCTCCAGCCTCACCTGGATTGCCTTTACTAGCACCATCCGTGTTGAGACAAACCCACCCATCTTGAGGAAATTCCCATTTAATATAAACCTCTTCCCTATTCCTCTTCAAAGGTCTGTCTCGACCAGCCATCTCAAATGCCCATTTGATATCTTTTACCCGAGCAAGGACAAAGCATGCTTGATCAATTGGAATCTCCACCTCCCTATCAAAGCTCCTAGCATTTCTCCATTTCCATAACAACCAACAAGTGACTACGAATATTAGATTCCAGTCCTCCATATCATAGCAACCCCTACAAGTCAGATTCTTGATCACCCACTCTCTCAAGGGTTTCTCAAATTCCAGGTCTTCCACCTTGATGCCAAGTTTCTTCCACACTACAATTGCTGCTGGGCACGATCTGAGAATGTGCTCAACATTTTCTTCAACATAGCCACATACTCGACATTTGGGATCCGAAGTCAAGTGCCTCAAGAATCTAGCTGCATTCGTCATAAGACGTTCCCTATACACTAACCAAAAGAAAAATCTCATCCTTTGTGGAGCCTGAATTCGCCATATGATATTCCAAGGGTTATTACATTCTGTCTCTCTTTTTCTTCGTGTCTTACAATCGCCATAGCCGACTTGAGAGTAAAACCTCCCGTTGGTGACCTGTTCCAGTATACCCTATCAACAGCATCCTCGTCCTCCAGCAATTCGTGGGATTTAATCCTTTATAATGCATCTCGAGATAAGTATTCAGCGAACACCTCGAGTTTCCAGCCTCTATTGGGATTAGGAATGGCAACGGATCGGATTCGGGTCGGATGTGGCTAAATCTGAATCCGATCCGTTTAGTAAACGGACCCTGGACTCGGATCCGAATCCGAGTCCGAATCCGAAAAATCCGAGTCCGAATTCGATCCGACTCGTAATTTTCGGATCCGAATCCGGTCCGTTTATTCGGACCTCCGAAATGATCCCAATATTTTTTTATTTTTTATTTTTTGTAATGTCATATACCTATAATTGCTTGCATTGTCATACTAATTAAAGTATAAACATAACATATTTAAATTATAAATTAAGTTACATAACAAAATTTTGCTACAAAACAAGCAAATAATTGTCCCAAGTTATAGAGCATATGCTTATACTCTTGGATTCGGACTCGGATCGGACTCCGTCGGACTTTGCGTAGGGTCCAAGTCCGATCCACCTCCTATTCGGATTCGGATCTATTTTATCAGATTCGGACTAATTTTAAACGGATTCGAATCGGATTTTTTCCTTCAGATCGGATCGAATTCGAATCGAACTCGGTTTAAATTGACATCCCTAATTGGGATCCCACATGTCTTGCACTCGATAATCCAAAATCTCAAGAGGAGGGTCCTCGATAATTTCTTCAATCAAGGGTCGTTTGGTAGCCCACTTATGGTACCAAAATGAAGTCTCCCTACCATTTCCAACTGCTGAGCTTACACCCTTGTTCAAAACGTCAATGTGCTCGACAATTCCTTTCCAATGAGTTCGAAGCATCACCTTTGCTCTTAAACATATCAATGTCACATCGACCTTCGCAATATTTGTACCTTAACACTCTAGCCCAAAGAGAGTTTGGTTCGGCTAACACTCTCCACCCCAATTTTGCCATTAATGCAGCATTCGACTGGCGCATTGATCTTAGACCCAGCCCTCCATCTCTTTTCGGCTTTGTCACTTCAGACCATGATACCAGATGCATCTTCTTTTTCTCCTCTGTACTGCCCCACACAAAGGCCCTTGTTTTTTTATCTATACTGTCACATACACCACAGGGAATCCGAGCCGATTGCATAGCATAAGTTGGAATTGAGGATATGCAAGATTGGGCTAGCGTAGTTCTTCCTGCCATAGAGAGAGTCTTCGATTGCCACCCACCCAACTTGGCATTCACTTTCTCAATTAAGAATTGATAAGTGGCCTTAGTCACTCTACCATTCAAAGTTGGCACCCCCAAATACGTGCCCAGGTCCTCTGTACTGTCCATGTTAAGCTCCGAGCAGATGGCATCTCTCAAGTCAAAATTTGTATTCGGAGAAAAATAGATTCAAGACTTCTCAGTACTCACCTTACTGCCAGAAGCAGCACAAAACATGTCTAGGCAACTCTTCATCACTCGAACTTGTTCTACTTTTGCTTCACAAAATAGAATTAAATCGTCCGCAAAGGCCAAATTAGTAATTGGAGGTCCATCTCGACTTGCTTTCACTGGTTTCCACCCTCCAAATTGAACCTCTCGATCAATCAAATGAGTTAACCTCTCCATACAAATTACATAAATATATGGAGACAAAAGGTCTCCTTGTCGGATTCCCCTTGAAGGTGAAAATTTAGCGGTTGGTTCTCCATTCCAAAGAATGCTCAATTTGGCGGAAGTGATGCACATCATAACAATATCCACCATACTTTGAGGTAATCTCAACTCCATGAGAGATTCACGAATAAACGACCACCTCAATCTGTCATACGCTTTTTCAAAATCGATTTTAACCACCATGTATCCAACTTTGCCTTGTTTTCTTCTCATTGTATGGAGCATCTCTTGGACTATTATAACATTATCCGTAATCTGTCTCCTTGGCACAAAACTACACTGACTTGGTGAGATTAACGTTGGTAGCAACGGTTTCAATCTATTCACAAGCACTTTAGTCACAATTTTGTATGTTATATTACAAAGTCCGATTGGTCTAAAGTGCTTAGATTTTTCAGGAATATCAACTTTCGGTATGAGCACTAAAAATGCATCATTGATACCAACAGGGAACTCTCGCCCTTCAAGGATATTCATCACAAGCCGCACCAAATTTGGTTTCACCAAATTCCAGAATTTTTGGTAAAACAAAGGTTGGAAACCGTCCGGCCCGGGGGCTTTATAAGGATCCATACTCTTCAAGGCACCCACAATTTCACAAACAGCAAAGGGACGAGTTAGAGTCTCCCAATCATCTTCTGAGATGCGGGGGAAGTAGTCTCGAAGCAGCTCGACCACATGTCCTTGATGCACCTCTTTAGAAAATAGTTTTTGCCAATACTCTTTCACGGTTTGTTGCACTAGTATAGGATCAGTCAGCCACTCCCCATCTTCATTCATAAGGGTTAAGACTTAAGAGCTTAAGACTATTCTCTTGAAATAAGGTCCAACGAGGACGATTTACCAAAATATGGTCAAAGATGGGCATCGTGCCGTGTCGGGCCGTCATGGGCCGTGCCTAGGTGGGGCTCGTGCCGTGCCAAGTTTTGGCACAGCACGGCATGGCACGGCCCACGTGCCTGGCGGGCCGTACTGTGTCGGGCTACGTACCAACCTTTTTTAATATATATATATATGAAAAAAAATCGATATATAATTATTTTTTAACAACTTAAGTTTATATACATAATTTTATAAATTTAGCAAAAAGCAATAATGCTTTGCTAATAATAATAATAATACTAAATACGTGTCTGGCGTGTCGACGATTGTGCCGCCCGCCGTGCCCGTGCCAAATTTTCAGAATTTTATTCACGACACGACCCACGACCTACAAATGGGCCGCCGTGCCATGCAGGGCCGTGCCGAAATCGTGTCGGGCCCGTGCCGACACGATCCATGACCATCTTTACTTATAATGTACCGATTTATAAGAGAGTATTTTATTTTGTGCGGAGAAGTGATTTTGTTACATAGAGTATGTTTTCTATGCTCTTTAATTAGACAAACTTTTAAATAAATCGGATGATAATAAATATTGTACATTCGTTATAAAGTTACCCTAAAATGAGCAACAATTACTCTAACCTGAATAAAAGTTAACTTGACATACATAAAAGTTACAATTAAAGTACTTATGTTTTATTGATAAAAGTTACCCAAAAAATTATAAAAGTGACCGATCAAATGTATATAAAAGTTACTCTTTGACATAAAGGTTTGTGAAAATCAATTATGAATCTGTCAAAATCAATTTTCTTTTATGTATGCTATAGGAAAATTTTAGGAAAAAAATCTCCATTACCGGAATACGGCTAATTGAATACCATAGGCGGAACAAAAACAGTGTATAACAGTATTCCAAAAGAAAGTGTAGAACACTACCTGTCTACCTCGGAAACGATTCTCAATGAAAAAGAGAATAAAAAGAGATTAGCAATCCACTTGACAAGCTAAAATATTCCACCACACGTCGGCAGTAGAGATAATTGGCTAAACTAATTGTTGAATCTTGGGTTAACCAATATCTAATTAGTCAATCATAGGTTTCTTCCCCCACTTTTTTCTTCTGCACCATTCCATAATTATTAGTGTCACACACTTGACGTACGACCTCCCAAAAAGAAGCATCTTGATTACCCTATTATAAAATTCTATAATCAACCAAAAATATCTCTTAATGAGTGATATAAATATCTTCTACAATAGAATTATAGACTAGTGATTATATTAGTATAGTCGTCGTACTTAATTCACTAAACGAGAACACGTGCCGCTTAAGACGTTGGCAAGCGTACAAATTGTCATCTATGTCATTTAATAAAGATTAAAAATAATTTTACAGTAGTATAATTTTCTCTGTTTCTAAAAACTTGTCCCATTATTCTTGTAAATTACTTTTCAAACTGATCATTTCAATTAACAAAATCTTCACAATTTATCTTTATATTTATTTAGAGTTTATCTATCTAGTCGATATAATTTTTAAAAAAGTAAAAATTGAAGACATACCATCTTTATAAAAAAAAAGAGTAATAAGATTTATTTATTTCAATTGATTAGGTATTAATCATAGCCTCATAGGTTGATAGATCTAATTACGTGTTCAATTCTAGTTAATTGATCAACTTAGGAGTTTTTAATGTGATTTATTTATTAAGTCAAAAGGCAAAAGGCCAAAATAAATCATACTTAGAGGGGGAATTCATCAACGTTGGCTAGTTGATTTGGCTGTACGGTTCAAGAAGGTGTTTGGTTTGCTTGACATATGGTTCCTTTTAGAGCTGCCACTTGTATCCAGCTATGTTCATCATTGTTTGCTTATCAAAGTGGATCATGCAGTTTTTTTATTAATAACACACTAAAAATTCAAATTCTTGAGTGCACAAAAGAGCGTAGAAGTATAATATATTACGGAGAAAGGTAAATTACGGAATACCAGTTAAAATCTCTGCATTATATGAACAACTTCTATTCTATGGTGCTAATACGAAGTATTTAAAATTGTTGAAGAGGTTTAGAATAAAGAAATATATGTAATTTTTGTAATACAATTGAAGAGATCAAAATATGTTGAAAAGCAAAAATAAAAATAAGTTATAAAAGTATTTACGGGTTATTGTAAAGAGGAGAGAGAATGGTAATATTTTCTAAAAATGAAATTGAGTCAAGGGACCATTATTGGGGATAAAAATATAAATATTGTTACAATCTTCCAAAATATAGGAATGGAATTAAAGAAATAAAAAAAAAAGACTAAAATGAAAAGTAAAGCACAGATGAAGTATTTGAAAATCGAAAGAAAAAAAATAAAAACTGAAAAAAAAAGCAAGGCTCGAACCGCATATCCACAAGACTTAGTATCACCATACTTACCACTAAGCCACAACAATAACACTAGAAATTTGTACAACAATTTTGTATATAATTGTAAACTTTGAGGCCCCAATCGATTTTGGGCCTTATGAGGTTGCGCATGCCGCACACCCTAAGGGCCGACCCTGGTAATAAGTTAAATGAGTCTTAGTTTCTTAATTAGATTTTTCAATATTATTCTATTAATATATCAAACCCTTTTTAACAAGTTTTTAAAATTTTATTCTATTAAATATATCAACCCTCTTTTAATATTGAGCATGCTAATTTACTGAACTAATTTTACTTTTTAGCTCCAACTATACGGTCAAGCTAGTAACTAAGTTATTTTCTCAATTGTAAATAAGTATATAATTACAATAATTGGAGATGTTTTATGCATTGGCGGAGCCAGAGGGGTACAAGGGGGGACAGTTGTCCCCCACTTCCCAAAAAAACAAGCAGCTATATATATATATATATTATTGTGTGGATTAATTTAGGATACAAAGTGGATGGTGTGGTGGTGAGTGGAGTTGAATTTTTTGCAAGATACCAAGGTTCGAACCTTGTTGTTGTAATATTTCCTTTTTTTTTTTTTTTTTTTTTGAAGAATCCTTCCATTATATCTATTAACCAATACGAATTTATTTACATAAGTGTAATTGTAATATTGCATGAATGGAGCCCCTAAATCTATTGTCATTGAACTTAAGTGGAGTATTTTCCATTCACTTTTTTTTCTTTATAATGTTTAATTAAGAAGTATTCCTTTCAATTTTTTTAATTAATATATACTAAGTATATATATTTAAATAATAATTTTAATTATGATATTGCATGAACAAAACCCACTAAATTAAGTTTGTCATACAAAATTATACATTATAACTATTGCATTTAATAACCTATATTTTATAAAGTTCGAATTTATTAAAAATTCCGAACTCATAAGCGATTAATTTTGGAGGAAAAATTGATATATGATGTTGATTTTTTATTAAGTACTCTGTATTGTGAATTTTTTGAGTTGTACACATTAATTATTGAACACTCGGTGTATTTAAGTATTGGTGTTTTTTTTTTCCGAATAATTTTTGTCAAACTATGTAATGTCCATCCGTCCCCCCGATTTAAAATTTCTGGCTCCGCCACTGGTTTTATGCAATTATGCCTCATAAACGTCACCAGTGGATCAAATCATATCCAGATGGAGAGATTTTGGATCCAAATAATTTGAACAAGCTATTTATTTTATTATAAATCTAATATTATGTGGAGGAATAAGAAAAAGGGGTAAGCAAGTGGATATTTTTCTTTATAAAAGACATCACATATCATTATCATGTTTATTTTATAGACTATAGAGTGAAGGTATATAAATGAATATGTTCAAAATCACCTTAGATTTAGGTTGTATCAATCAACTGAATCAAGCTAAGCTAGTAAGCATGGAATGTGATATATACACAAAAATTTATGATGCTCAACTAATTTTGTTAGTTAAATTTACCTTTTTTTTAATAGCATAGTTAAATTTACCTTAATCTCCTTAGTTCTCCTGTATTCGGCAATGGAATTAAAGATATATACTATTTTCAACACATAAAGAAGATACGAACAGATTCTTTTTTGTTTTTGTTTTTGTTTTTGTTTTTGAGTTCAAATGCAAACTTATTTTCAATAATTATCAAACTTTGTATACATACTTGTATATCTGATAAAGATATTCTAACATGTTCACATCAATTCTAACTGAGGGATGAGAGTAGGTCATTCGACTCATTCCCTCATTCTACTATTAATAATTTAGTACTCTCTAGAATATATATTTTTCCGTTAAAAATTGTATTGATATGATTAATATGATTTCATTGTCCTGTTCTTTAGAGCTGCTCTGCTGAAATCTAATCTGCTCTGTCCTGTTTAAATCTGCTCTGCACTACACTGCTCTACTTTGTTCTACTAAAATATGCTCTGTTTTGTCCTGTTTTGCTATGCTTTGCTCTGCCAGAAGCTTAAAAGAATGGAGCCTTAATGATTTATCAACTCATCATCATTCGTAAAAATATAAAACTGGCTATTCCTTCGTGACAAAACATTAAATTAAAGAACGAATGGAGTACAAGACTAGGTAGTCAAGTAGTCGGTAGTGATAAATGGACTACCAAATCACGTAATTAGGCGATAATCAAATTATCAAATCGCCACTCTACGTAAGCAGTTGAAATATAAACCGGTCCCCAACTCCTCATATAAAAAGTTAATCATACTATGCCAGATATTTTTTCTCGCTCCTTCTTTCACTTTCTCGAACCCAAGGTACGTTTCTCTCTCTATGCAGACTATGCCTCACTCAAGGAGACACATTGTTCTTTCTCTCTCCTCGTTTCAATTTTGAATTCCTGCAATTTTAGTTCCTTGATCGCATTTCATAGCTGTAATCTACTATGCATTTGATCAAACATCGCTTCAATTTCACTCAAAATTCGATTCATTCTCAAAGAATTTTGATAATTCTTATGGTTCCAATTTTACTTGCGATTTAATCGTCAAATTAGGGCAACGATTTTGATGATCAAAATTTTATGGTGAGATGTTAACCTAATTTTTGTAATTTCTTCAATCGCTGTTTTATCGTTGCTGAGAATTTGCATTTGTTCATAATATTTTCGTTTATTGCAATTTGCATGTGCTCTTTTGGATTTGATTCTAGATGTTACTTCTTTTGTTAATCTGTTGTTAGCTTCTTTAATCGCTTTTTATCACAAATTTTTCATCAAATTGTGCTAGATTTTGCAATTAGGTGTTGTTTTACCTCATAATTTTTAAAACAAGAGTTGAATGTGCGAGAATACTGAATTGTGGAAATATTGTTGTAGAAACAGGACTTATGCCGATGGATTGTATCATCTTAATTTGTCGCCGAGTTCGAAATATCGACTCCTTAACTGTAAGTAATGCAGCACATTGAGATTTAGTTTGTTTTTTGTGTTTATGATTTTAATTATTTATCGTCATTGTTGATTCTATTTTGTGAAATTTGTGATTGAAGGTGAATGAGAAGAATTATGAGGAATGCAATTTGGAACACACGTTGCTGTTTATTTGATGGCTACAGGTAAGTATTATTTATTGCTAAACCGTCCTTTGCTTTTTGTTCAGTAAGTATATAATATGAGTTACTGTAGTTCAACTTGTATATAGTTTTATCGTAAAATGAAAGTTTTGGCATATTAAACTCTATTAATATCTTTAATGGTTTAGATTCCATGTACTATGTGAAGAAGTTGAAATTGCTAATTGTATGTTTCCGGTTGCTACCTAGTTAGGAAGTTGACGAAAACTACATAAAATATTGAGTATAACAAATGCTTTTTAGATTTCAGCATAGACGTTATTCACTGGGTGTAGATGTGGTATGGTTTTAGCCTTTTTGTTTTACTGCCTTAGCTGTGTTTATTGGTAATTTGACCAATAACAGTTTTATTCCTCCAAAGTCCAGACCAAAGATTTTCATGTCTAGGCTTTCTAATTTTCCGGTTCCGTCTCTAAAGATCCTTGCGATGCTTAGCGTAAAGAACACTAGAGCTTGTTTGTGATAAGTGTTATACTAGTTTGAATAAATTTATCATATGGTTTTTTAACGAGTTACTTCTCCGTTTTAATTTGGTTGAGAGCATGTGGTGAGATATGGTGAAGAATTGAAAAAGTGAAGGAGCCTTTGTTTCTAAGTGGATGATGTATGTATTTGACTAAGAGAGTTAGGGATTTTGGTTTTTACATAGCAATGTGACAATGAGTTCAAAGGGATGGAGCTCATAATAATGCTGTCTCCGTCTATATTGGATTGTCTTACTTTTCATCATAGGATGCTTTACATTAATTGTCCATTTTTTTTAAAAATAATATTCCAATTTCATATGCTAAATTAGTCACTTAAACACTCCTTAGGTTTTTATCACGGTGAAATGGAGGGAGTACTTTATAGATAATGCTATTTAAGTACTTTGTATTTATATAGAATGGTCTTAATGTTCCTAGACAATTTGATTATTCAGTTTGCATTATCAATTGAGCTTTATCTCAAAATAGGGATGTGAAGTGTTACTCCAATCAGTGATACATGCTTACTAGTTTCCTTTAGTTTGAGAGGCCTTTCTATGAATTAATTTTTTTTACTGTTCTAAGTATTACTTGTCCAGCTAGGTTGTGGTCACTGTCAAGCCTGTTATTCATCCCATCTTTAGATAATTTTTACTTCACCAATTACACCATGGGTGTGTAACATAAGTAGCAGCCTTTCTTTTTAGATGACTTCTTCATTTTCAACTTATAGTCCTATGTAGAATAATTTTTGTTTCTTGTGTAATAAAATCTAATACCTAGAGAAATTTGTAAGAAGAAACATAATAATGTGTGATCTTATCTGAATGGTCTTGCGTGTATTTCTATGATGTAAATATCTTTTAGAGTTATACTACACATTTGAAGATAATTATGCTCAAATATTTCACTAAAAACTGTGCAAATAATGAAACAAGATTAGTTGATGGATACAGATTGAGTAATAATTGGCTATAAATTTAACATAAAGGATAAAAATTTGTGTTTTAATTGGCCTAAAAATACCCTACAAATATTTATTATCATTTCGATCTTCTAGAAACTAGTTTAGATAGATTTTAAATTGGGAATGCCTAATGTTGTCCCAAGTTATCCAATTATCCTACTTTAATCTCTTAAAAATCCTACATACCTCTATGAGTGATAGATTTGTAGATTCCTATGATATTTAGTGGAGACTAGGCATTGGGAGACTTGGTGAAGTGATGAGCTTTTGTGTTTTTTCTTAAATAAGAATGTGTGAAGTATTGAAGTTATGTGTAGTTTCAACTATAATGCCCTAAAAAACCTAAAGAGCATGCCCTTTAAATTGCTAAAATAACCTGTGGAAGGTGTGAAGGAGGATGGTGTTATTATTATAACCTTAACTAAGGCTGTATTTGACCATGTTAGCTAATCTTCCTCTTTTGAATGCCTAGTGATATAAAAGAGTGTCATATGATGGGGTTTTTAAAGTTTAGGCAGATTGTGTTAAGAGGCATTGTGAACTTGTGATAATAGATTAAGTGACTCATTTGCTATATGGCACCCCACCTCTTTTTTACACCACTTACTTCTAATGAATACATTATGTGATACATTTTTCCTTATAACTTAGAAAATAGGGTGAAGTGTGTTAATGCTAGATGTTAATACCTCTTGGAATATAAGTTGAGTTATTACAATCAACTACTACCTCCGTTTTCCTAAGTTTCACTTACTTTCCGTTTTCATCCTCTTTTCTAAGTTATACCCACTTTTACTTCATTCCTTTTATGACAACTTTTTATTTATTTTTTTTATCATCCACAATTTCACTTTATAGGACCCAATTTTATTTAATAAACCTCATACTCTCTATCTGGTCCCAGTTTTTACTTTTCTTGATTTACGTAGTTACAACTATATAAGTATACATATATAAGTATAAGTAAGACTTAGCAAAATGCGGAGGTAGTAGTATTTATATGTATAATTTATTTTTTAAAAAAAACTATTTAAGTATACACTTTGTCTTTCTTCAAATTTCTATTTCTAAAATGATTATTAAGCTTTATGACAATGTTTTTTTATTTAATTTACTGAATTTAATTTTTTTTTTTTAATTTTATTTAAAAAATATTTAAAATGTATGTGATGCAAATTCAACAAATATTGATTTGAAGGGTTAAAGGAATAGTATAAAAAGGGTTAGTACAATTTAATGAAAGAAACTTATTTGAATTTGTTAAAATTGAAACAATGGAAAGACACAATGGTTTAAAAATAAATCAAGGGTGGAAAAATGTTTGTTAGTTATTTAAGTTATTTGTTTTAAATTAAAAAAATATATCGAAATATAAAAGGTGTGTGGGACATCGATCATCTCTTATTATTATTTGAATTTTATTTATTCACCCCCCCATTTTTTAGCCTATTTATACCACTTATTATTACATCTACCCACTTATAGTAGAAGTAGTTGAATCATTGATTTTCTTGAAATATATGTTCATCAAATCATGTATCCAATTAGAATGTCTTGTAACACTTCTAGGGACAAATATTCTTTAAATTATCAAATCATCTCCAATAACTATTTCATCATTCTTAGGACCTAGAGTCAGATTAATACTCTTGTTGTCTCCTTTTTTTTTTCAAGGATGGGAAGGAATATATTTGATAATGGAGTAAATTAATTTTTCATCAATGATCATGCTTTATATTTGTTATCTTTTAACAAAGTACAAATAACTCCTTATCATAAATCATTATTTTATGTATAAAATGTGCATTGTGTATCATTAAAATGGTTTATACATCCACTTGTATAATTAATAGTGATAATTGTTTGGAAGAATTTCTTAAATGTAACAAATAACAAACTTAAGGAAATTGGTCCATTTCAAAACTATGCAGTGTGTGTGTGTGTATATATATATATATATATATATATATATCTTAGCGGATAAATAGTAGATATTTGTGGATGTCGTCGACAAAACCTTGTAAATAAATCATAATGAGGCGTCCAAAGGTGTGTCCTTTTCTCTTTATCAACTTAAATTATGTATAAACCTCATTCATTGGAGCTTGAACAAACCATCATGTTATGGCTATGAGTGTAATGGAATACTGCCACCTTACACCTGAAATACAAACATTTAAGAAACAATTGAAATGATTTAGAACACAAAGCATAATTTATAAACAAACGAAGAATTTATCAAATTAGCCTTTTCATTTTCCTTATAAGCTACAATTACAAGTTTTTAGATTCAAATTGAATTTTTGACATAAGGGTTTTTACTTTTGAATCTATGAAAGATTTCTAAGGAGAATTGAAATTTAAGAAAGGACAATGCCTAAGAAACTTTTTAAAATTTATATACAATGGTATAAAGGTTACACCTTGGATCCATGTGTAAGACATTTTTCCATTAAATTTATCGGAGACTTTTTAAATTTAATGTAGTGAAGCATAATTTTTTTTTTATTATATGGCAACCTCCTTTTAATGTGATGCTTTCTTAGGCTTTCCTCTAAGTCTCCCACGACTTAGAATCCATTCTTATGTTTGTGTCGATACAATGAATAAAGGAAAATGTACTTTTAAAACTAAGCTCGTTAGGGAGCAAAGATCAATGTGTGATCCAAAGTTCTAAATTTCTCTTGCTTTATTTGTATTAAGCCCCCCACCCCACAATTTAAGAATCCTAAAATAGATAATCTTCTCTGTCATAAGTGCTTGTGCCCCTTTCATTTGCTTAGCAATCTCTCTCGGCACTTGTTCCTGAATAGACCAAAGGGTTAATACGCACATTGACAATTGCTTGTGTGTTTTTGCCGGCTAGATGTGCTACTTGGATTTGGTGTTTATGGTGTAAGGGGCTAAGGGCCCTTTGTGTGCTTTGATAAGAAAGATTGAAATGCTTTGACAAGATGGAATTATAGACAACTCGAGTATGTTATGACCTTGTCTGCAACAAAAACTGATCAACCAGACTTAGAGATTGTGATCGATGAATTATGTAACCAAAAAGAAGCACTTTATTAGGGGGCAAGTTGATGAGGCGTTACAAACATGAAACCTTTTATTAAAAAAAAAATCATTATTCTTGTTGTGACAACCGCGACGTGGTTTACCTCAATGCATCATTTGGGTAATATTATGACCGTAATTGTGACTACAACTATTAACGAGTCATTATGGCTAAGTATGCTTGGCTTAAGCTAGCTTAGGTTTGTGCTCCAAGCTTTAAAGGCAAGCTTGGCTCGTGGTTAGTTAAGGCTTGTGAAGCCTAATTTAAACAAGGCCCAAATGGTTCCCATAGACATTGTTTCAAAGGCAATTAAATTTGCTTTTATAATTCTTATATTCTATAGGAGTGCCATAAGACTATTGTTGCTCTATAGTACAGAATGTTGGGTTTTTAAGAAGGAGCACATTAAAATGATGGAGGTTGCATGTTAAGGTGGATATGCGGGAACACTCTAAGAGATAGGATCATAAATGAGTTTTTTCACTAAAAAGTA